ACAGCTCATTCCATACATGCACCACCCTCTGCATGAAAAATGCTGCCCCTTAGGTCCCTCTTAAATCTTTCCCCTCTCACCTTAAACCTACGCCCTGAGGAAAAGAACTTGACTATTCACCCTATGCATGCCCCTCATGATTCTATAAACCTCTATAAGGTATGTAAATTGTAAAGAGCGGAGGCCCTGGCACTGACATCTTGCCAACCAGAACATACACTCCATCTGTTAACCAGCCAATCTCCTATCCGTGCTGATATGGTACCTTCCGCACCATGAAATTTTATTCTCTGTAACAACTTTTGATGTGGCACCTTATCAAATGCCTTCTGGAAATCTCAGGACATCACATCCATCACATCACCTCAGCACAAATTTACTTACTCAAAGCAGTCAATAAATTAGTCAAACATGATTTCCCTTTCACAAAACTATGTTGACTCTGCCTGAAGACTGTGGATTTTACTAAGTGCCCTGTTATAAGGACTTTCATAATAGCTCTGAATAACATCCCTGTGATTGGCCTGTGGTTTCCTGCTTTCCATCCCTTTTGACTTATGGAATTATCGTCAGTAATATCCAATCTAATGGACCTGCCCTGAATCTAGTTCGTCCTGTAAAATTAAAACCAGTGCATCAGTTACCTCACTAGTCACTTCTTTTGAAGTTCTGGGATGAAATCCATCAGGACCTGAGAACTGGTCTGTCCACATCTCCAAGAACTCGCTCGGTCCCACTCCCCTGGTGAATGCAATTTTTCTGCTTACCTCTCCCAATTCTTGATTCACAGCCAACCAATTTCTGTGATGTCACTTGCATCTCTTTAGTGTTTCTTTATTTTCCATGCATAATTCCCCAGACTCACTTTCTGTAGGACTAACATTCACTTTAACATTGCTCTTTTAACCGGGATGCTGTTTTCCCTGGAGCATAAGAGGTTGAGGTGTGAATTTATAGCGTTTTATAAAATCTCCCTCTGCACCATCCTCATCAAACACTCCCAGGACAGGAACAGCATGGGGTTAGATACAGAGTAAAGCTCCCTCTACACTGTCCCCATCAAACACTCCCAGGACAGGGACAGCACGGGGTTAGATACAGAGTAAAGCTCCCTCTACACTGTCCCCATCAAACACTCCGAGGACAGGGACAGCATAGGGTTAGATACAGATTAAAACTCTCTCTACACTGTTCCCCATCAAACACATCCAGGACAGGGACAGCACGGGGTTAGATACAGAGTAAAGGTCCCTATACTCTGTCCCTATCAAACACTCCGAGGACAGGAATGGCATGGGGTTAGATACAGAGTAAAACTCCTCCTACACTGTCCGCATCAAACAGTTTCAGGGCAGGGATGGCACTTGGTTATATACAGAGTAAAACTCCCACCAACAGAACAGAGAACGGGCCACAATCATCCTGTAAATTAACAGTCACATAATGCACACTTTGGAACCTCTGTAGGCATTACCCTGGAACCAAGACCAGCAGGACTGTGACACACTAAATCATTTCAAAGATCAGAGTGGTTTGGAATGTTGCTGGCCTCGATAATGTAGTATAAACACTCCTTACACACATAAAATCTGTCCACAAACCTTTTATTAGAAACACGAGAGTATTAGGTCCAAAGACCACACACGCAGTATTTATAAAATAATATCAAAAATAACCTCTTTAATAAAATGCTGCATTTAAGTAACCAGGAGAGATCGGAAGTGGGACGTCAATAAATACAATAAAGAAATTAATTCTCGACACCATCTTGGAGTAAGGCCTCTATCTTGCCCAGGGATTGAAAATTCCAATGTTGTGTGGTCCAAAAGATGTGAGATTGTTAACTTTGTCATAGTCCCATTGCACTGCTCGCTGATCAGAGAGAGATGGTGGTGGTTTAACCCAGGGGTCATCATGTCTCAGGCGAGGGGAGAGGTTGAGAAGGAGAGTCCTTCATGGTAAACTCAGCTGGTGTGGGAATCAAACCTACACTGTTGGTGGTACTGGGTACAGAACTGGCCATGCTGAGAGCTGAGCTAACCAGACCCTCAGTAAAGGGGTATTCCAGCTTTGATTTCACTGACAAGTTGGTGCAGTGATGCCAGCAGAGGGCAGATTGGCATGCTGTCAACTTCCTACGGGACATGGAATGGAAACTCAGATGGATTGGACAGTGCAGCGGGCTAGACGGGGCGAATGACCTACTCCTCATTCATATAGATCATTATAGATCACCTGCAGTTTGCGTACGCGGGCCAGAGACCGTTGTTTCTAACTTCCTTTCCTTAGTGAATTGATCGTGAACGCCATATGGTTTAGTGTTGGAGAGGAGGCTTACAGACCTGGTAAATGTTTTGAGTTGGGGCCATTCGTTTATTGCGTCTGTGCTGACTCCTTGGCAGGCCTATCCAACTAGTCACCCATCAACCGCCCCACCACACCGCCCCCCACCCCCCGCCCTGCTTTTGTCCATTAGCCCTGTCGTTTACCCAAGAATATAACCCATTCCCTTGAGTAAGTTATCACCAAATCTGTGTCAACTGTCTTTTCTAAACCCTATTGTAGGGTCCTCCAAGAGGGATAAGATGCAGCGTGCCCCTAATTTCCCTAATTCTGCATTCACAACATTAATTCTGTCTCTCCTCTCTCCCTCTGCACAGGCGTTACCAGGCCTATTGAGCTGTTGCAGCAATTTCTGTTGCCCTGTTAGAGGTATCATGGACTCCAAGTGCTTAACCAGCTACCTGGTTCCTAATCACCACCTCAACCTCTACTCCACATTTAACCCTCCTCTCACATCTTTGGTCCACCAAAAGGTACATGAGTTGGGAGGTCATGTTGTGGTTGTACATTGGTTAGGCCACTTTTGGAATACTGTGCTCAATTCTCCCTGCTGTAGGAAGGATGTTGTGAAACTTGAAAGGGTTCAGAAAAGATTTACAAGGATGATGCCAGGGTTGGAGAGTTTGAGCTACAGGGAGAGGCTGAATAGGCTGGGGCTATTTTCCCTGGAGCATCGGAGGCTGAGGGGTGACTTTATAGAGGTTTATAAAATCATGAAGGGCATGGATAGGGTGAATAGTCAAGGTCTTCTTCCCAGGGTAGGGGAGTCCAAAACTTGAGGGCATAGGTTTAAGGTGAGTGGGGAAAGATTTTAAAAGGGACCTACGGGGCAATGTTTTCACACAGAGGGTGGTGTGTGTATGGAATGAGCTGCCAGAGGAAGTGGTGGAGGCTGGTACAATAAGGACATGTAAAAGGCATCTGGATGGGTACATGAATAGGAAGGGTTTAGAGGGATATGGGCCAAACACAGGCAAATGGGGCTAGATCAATCCAGGATATCTGGTTGGCATGGATGAGTTGGACCGAAGGGTCTATTTCCACGCTGTATGACTCTAAGACTCTAATTAGGAGGAGCAGCTTTGAACTGTTTGATGTTGGAGTTTTCTGTCCTGTTGGTGATGGCTTGGTGCTATCTCTTCATACTGCCTCTTTTGGATCGTCATCACCTCCCGGAAAGCGGACACTCTTCGTACAATGACCATCCTCCTCGGAGTTACACAAGGTCACCACCTACTGCTTTCAGTGGTCAGCAGGTGTGCAGGGTGGGGTGGAAGATGTGAAGTGGAGAGAGGGTGGAGGGGAGGGGCGAAACGTCTTTTTAACCTCAGCCCTCTTCAGGATGGCGAGGAAGAAAGAGAAGCCGATATCGGAAAGGGAAGGGTGTTTTGTACGGTTTTTGGGGGAGCAGGGAGCGGACTGGTTTTCGCTACAGCTAGCACGGAGCAACAGCGGGTAAGTGTGCCCTGTTGTTCTCACTCGGATTCAGTTGGGCTGGACTTTACAGCAGGGAGTGGGGAGGGGGGATTGTCGGGGTTAGGGGCGATAAATCCCATCTCTCTACACCCCTCCTCGGGGAAGAGTTTGGCTGCAACCTGGTGGCATCCAGAACGTGTAAGGGCTATCTGTAGGCCGAGGTGGTACAGGGCTCTGACAGCACATAGGTAACAGTCTGCAATGATGGGCAGACTGTACTTCCGACACAGCCACAGTGCCGGGGGGGAAGCGGGGGCATACCAGCTACTGCCATGACCGAGCTACGCCAATCCCTCACCCTCACCCTCAACCCACTCCCTCGGCCACTCGAGCGGGCACTGGGACACGGGGTGGGGATTTGATGTGGCACGGTGCTAGTGTCCCTACGTGTGGACCAATCGGCCTGGGTCCCAGAGAGACAGAGACTCTGTGTGTGTGTGTGTGTGTGTGTGTGTGTGTGTGTGTGTGTGTGTGTGTGTGTGTGTGTGTGTGTGTGTGTGTGTGTGTGTGTGCATGCGTGAGAGAGAGAGAGAGTGTGTGTGTGTATGAGAGAGAGAGTGTGAGAGTGTGTGTGAGAGAGAGAGAGTGTGAGAGTGTGTGAGAGAGAGAGAGAGAATGTGTGTGTGTGTGTGAGAGAGAGAGAGAATGTGTGAGAGTGTGTGAGAGAGAGAGAGAGAATGTGTGTGTGTGTGTGTGAGAGAGAGAGAGTGTGTGTGTGAGAGAGAGAGAGAGTGTGAGAGTGTGCATGTGTGTGAGTAAGAGTGTGTGAATGTGAGTGAGTGTGTGTGAAATTTGTAAGAGTGAGAGTGTGTGAGTGAGTGTGAGGTGTGAGTGCGTGAGCGCATGACGTGTGTGTGTGTGTATAAATGTGAGTATGTGTAAATGTGAGTGTGTGTGTAAACATGAGTGACTGTGTGTAAGTGCATGAGTGTGTGAGAGTGTGTGTGTATATAAATGTGAGTGTGTGCGTGTAAATGTAAGTGTGTGTGCGTAAATGTGAGTGTGTGTGTGTAAAGGTGAGTGTGAATAAGTGAGTGTGAGTGTGTAAAGGTGTGTGTGTGTGTAAAGGTAAGTGTGAGTGAGTGTGTAAAGGTGAGTGTGTGTGTGTAAAGGCGAGTGTGTAAAGGTGAGTGTGAGTGAGTGTGTAAAGGTGAGTGTGAG